TACGAATCTTTCTTCCAAATCTGCTGTTCTTGCCGTGTCTGATGTGTCTGCTGTGCGCCTGCGCAGTTATGGCGCTGGAGCGGGTGCCGGCGGATATTCGCGCGCAAGGCGGCGTGGCGCGCATGAGCGATCCGCAGATGATCAAGGAGATCAAGAAGGCCGTCACCATCCCCGTCATGGCTAAGGTGCGCTGCGCGCGTGACGCGCTCTCCGCGAATGCTTCTATTCGGCGCTCTCTTTCAAATGCCCTCAGACCGATTAGGCCCGAATTATCGAACGATTGGCATGGACCTCCACGACGGGCGTCCCCAACCTGCTTGCGCTCTCTCTCTCGCGGACCACGCGGACGACGTTGGCGGTTGACCTTTTATCTCCCCCCCCCCTTCTCCTCTCCTCTCCCCTCTCTGCCAGCCGGTTCCCCCCCTTCCCGCCCTCCCCCTCCGCCGATGCCAGATTCGCTGCTCTTGTTCCTTGCCCTTGCCCTTGCCCTTCCCTTTCCCCTTTCGTTGCCGTTCCCCTTGCCTTTTTCTGCACATTCGATCTGCTCTGAACAGTTTCCTCGATTCCGTTACACCCGCCCCTCACCAGGCGCGCATCGGACACTTCGTCGAGGCGCAGATTCTCGAGGCGATCGGCATTGATTACATCGACGAATCGGAGGTGCTCACGCCCGCCGACGACGTGAACCACATCAACAAGCACCGCTTCGCCGTGCCGTTCGTCTGCGGATGCCGCAATCTGGGGGAGGCGCTCCGGCGCGTGGCGGAAGGCGCGGCGATGATCCGCACCAAGGGCGAGGCGGGTACCGGGGATGTTATCGAGGCCGTCAGGCACGTCCGATCCGTTCAAGGGGAGATCCGACGGCTCAAGGCTCTCGACGAAGATGAGCTTTACGTCTTCGCGAAGGAGGTATGTTGGTGGCTTCCGAGGTGTCTCTTGGAAATGAAATTTTAGGTAAGGTTTTTGAATGGTGCTCGCCTGTGTGGGCGCGTAGGCTTTATGTTCCCTAAACCCTTCAGCACGGGGTTTTTTGTTGCAAGGATTTACGAATGAAGCACGAATCTGGTTCGAATGGAGGTACGTTAAGGTGAATGTGCGTTCTGGGAGTGTATGAATGCTCGGAAGTCACATTCATGTTATCACATACAACACTGTGTCATTTAAACGTCTAGGTTACTGCCAGACCAACTATCGCCACCTTCACCTGGCAACCTTCTCAACGGCTCATTGGTTCCGTCACAGTCGTAGTTGCACGCCTTCATCGCGTTGATAATTTTTCGTACGTGCTGTGGCGCGCATCTGCTAGCGCCTCAGCACTCTTCGTATCGTCTCTCTGGGTCTCTTCCTCGTTCTGTGCCTCTCCCGTTTCTCCTGCGCTCCTCACTCCCCCCCCCTCCCCGCTCCCCGCCTCCCCCGTTTTCCCCCCATCCGCTTTGCGCCTCCCGCGCCGCTGTTGAGCGCAGCTGCGCGCGCCGCTGGATCTGGTGAAGCAGACGCGGGAGCTGGGCAGGCTGCCAGTGGTCAACTTTGCGGCGGGCGGCGTTGCGACGCCCGCGGATGCCGCCATGATGATGCAGCTGGGGTGCGACGGCGTGTTCGTGGGCTCCGTGAGTCACGTCTTACCTCTAGTCGTTCCACATGTCGCCCGTGCCACGAATGCCACGAATGCAACCTGTGCCACCTATGCAACCTGCATGTGGGGTGCGTTCGCGCGCTTCTAAAGGTTGAGCACGCACATTTACAGAGCACGCACTATATTTCTGCCGCATGCATAGGCCTTGACCGTTGTCACGCAGTGGGACGCGTGGTGTGGAGCGAGTGGGACATGCGCCATTAGTCTTGTAGCGATTCGCTTGTACCTGTTACCACAGCTGCAACCCTACCCTTGCTGCTGTTGTTGTCCTTGTCTCTGTCCATCCATGAATCGCGCCTCTTTTTCATTCCTCGCGCTCCCACCCACCCCCGTTCTCCACACCTTTCGCTCCCCCCTGGCGCCCCCCCTCCCTCCCTCAATCTCTCTCGCATCTTTGACCTCTCCAACCCGGTCCCCCTCATTCCTCGACCCCCCCATGGCTTCGCCTGCCACCTCACCTTCCATCTCTTGATATATGCCAGGGCATCTTCAAGAGTGGAGACCCAGCAAAGCGCGCTCGTGCCATTGTGCAAGCTGTCACGCATTACACAGGTGAGATAATTCGGATCTCATCCCCAAGGTCTTGTCAGCTGATTAACGTGCAACCGGTTTTGTTTGAGAGGTCATATGGGGTTCGGGTCTCTGGTGTAGTGGTAAGTTAAAGTATAAATGGGCTTTTCGGTGTACCAAATTAGACTAAGATTTCCTGGTGTAGTGGTGTAGTGTCGTTTTTCAGTATAAATGGGCTTTTCGGTGTACCAAATTAGACTAAGATTTCCTGTGGTCTTAACGGTGACATAACAGAGAAAATAACCGATCAGCAAAATTCTGTGGCCCATCTGTCAGTCCTACTCTTTCTCTGTTCTGTTGTTCTGTTTAGTTCCCAAGCTCCACTCCCCTCCTCCCGCTCACTCCCTTCTCACGCTTTCCTTCCCATCCCCTTCCTAATATGGTGGTTCTGCCCTTCACAGATCCGAAGGTGGTGGCGGAGGTGAGCTGCGGGCTGGGAGAGGCGATGGTTGGGATCAACTGCTCCTTCGACATCAAGGAGAGATACGCTGCACGCTCTGAATAAATCAAGTGATTATGAGTCGATCAAACCTTTGTTTCTGGTTCAGCTAAAGATTGTGAAAATGTTATGTGATCAGAATTACTAGATGTATTTTTCCTGCTAGTGTAGCAATTGAGACAGGTTGTTTGAATATTGGGAGCACAATTACTACAGCAGTTCAATTTACCAAGCTCAAAAAGAGGGCTTTTGTCACATTCCTGTTGCACCGCCCTGTAACATACTTTGTCACATTCAATTGCGTCAAATCGCATTGAACCATACAAACATTGATTAGAGATGAACCTGATTAAGGGTATCTGTTGATATGTTTTGTTGGAAACAATTAACTCCAAGCGCCTCTGTCGTATCGAAACACCAATTCAGAAGCGAAGCGAAGTATATCGGAGCACCCGACGAATCAACCCCCGGAGGTTGAGCGGTTGCTAGAAGTTACGCGAAAGTGAGGACACACAATTGACTCGTTACAGAGCAGTTGCCTTTGTCACTGTATCGAACCGCAACAGCAACAGTAAAATAGTTGCAACCGTATCTTTTCGTATTCCTTGTACTCTTATATAATCTTGTATCGCTTTGCTTGAATCAATTCACTTTGCCCTCACATACCAGCGCAAGGTGATTCATAACTCTTCATTAAAACGCTTCCGCTATTACAACAAGTCCTACCCAGAGTTCAGCCCTGCAAAGATCCTAGGGGCTTTTTCTCAGGCCAACATGTTTGAATGATCCTTAAAGCCAGCAGCTAAAATAGTGACCCCCCCTTCTAGTTGGGTCCACTTGGAAATACCGTAAAATTATAATTTTTAAACACACATGTAGTGTTTTTTAAAATTGTGTATTGTGAAAGCGAAGCTGCTTGTACTGCACAATTGGCATCGTCGAAGCGCGCTAAACGCCCTTCTCCAACTACAAAAACCGTGGGTTGGAGCTCATTTCCCTCCACCCACGTTTCTCAATTTTCAAACGGCTCACTCAACATTCTCACCACCCACCCCAGTGTAAACCGCCTTGCTAATGCCACTTGGATAGGGTACATAATAGCTAGTGTTATTAGTCCGCACTAGCTTATGTCGAACGATGATGCAAATGTTGTAATACGCCATTTGTAATGAGAACGATGCCAATGCCATTTGTAATGAGAACGATGCCAATTGATAAGAAAGAAAGCAAGCTTTCTCAATAGTTTTTTTGGAATGCTTCGTTAAAGCTGCGGTCTACATACTAAGTGGTATTTTTGGGTGTATTTTTTATGCCAACCCTTTCGTGCGGCCTGATTGGAGAACGAAGTCAGAATGTTTCGTAAACACCGCAGCAGACGAACTCAGAGAGGTAACGCGAATCCAGCCCAATTTCGTGCTGACGGGTGGTTTGGAGGAGGGTCAGCGGAAGGGCGGGAAACAACCTGGGGAGTTCGGTTTCGTGCGGAAAGAACTCGAGCCCCCTCTCTCCACCTCTCTCAACCGTTAACTTTGCAGGAAAGGGGGCCGAGTCCAAAAACTGGTCACCCTGTTTTCAAGTGATAATCTCAGCCCTCCCGCTCGGAGTATGTAGGCCACAGCTTTAAGTTGGAAGTGCTGTGCTTTTATCTTTTTTCACTAGAGTTGATTCTCGGTGTGAACAAGAACATTTGGAACATGAGTACAATTCTGATTGGAAGCGAAACTCACACACAACTCACACATACTTGCGATTTTGGTGCAAGGCTACTACAATGCCTGTATGCACCTTGAGCAGTGATCGTAACTTCACCAAAACATCACATCAATCAACCACCAGGCAAAAATCAGCGCACACACACATGTAGGAGATGAGAGTGTAGGTGTGTCAGAATGTTATTATCTAGCATGTAGTGGAGTGCTCTATAGCGAGTACAACCCTGTTAGGGTTTGCTATATGTATCCCAACTGCTGCTAGTGAAACCCTCCTTTGTTCATTTCTCTTTTGCCTAGCTAGCTAAACCCTAGCTATGGCTCCTCATTGTGTTTACTCTTGTCATAAGGTGGGCCGATGACCTAGCAGATCTGCGAGAAAAGGCGTTTCCCTGTATTTGAGAGGCTGAAAGAGGTTATTAAATAGTGAGTCGAAGAACGAGGGGAAAAAAAAAGTTGGACAAGGTATCACGAAAGGATAGTACGATTGAGATGGGGAGAGAGAGAAGAACAACGGGTTGGGGGGGGGGGATGCGAACGACGAGATGGGAGGGGAGAGGAGGAACGTGAGCGCGATGCCAACGGGAGAGAGAGTGCGCAGGCGACGGGACGTGAGAGCGCGAAGGCGACGGGTGGGAGAAGCCGAAGGCTATAACAGGGAGAGCGCGTAGGCGACGGGAGAGAGAGGACGAAGGGGACAAGAGGGAGAGCGCGCATGCGACGGGAGGGAGAGGAGACATGCGACAATAGGGAGAGCGCAAAGGCGACGACTGCATCGAGGGTGACGGGAGGGGAGGGGAGAAAAGGAGGTCGATAGGAAGGGAGGGTTTAGAGAGAGGGTGACAAGAGGGAAGGGAAGTGGAGACTGCGAAGGCGACGAGAGGGAGGGGAGAGAGCAAGGGAGACGGGGGGGGAAGGGTAGAGAGAGAGGGCGAAGGCAAGATAATAGGCTTTGAAAGCGATGTTAGCAACGAGATGGGACTTTTAGGGGAGAGAGGAAAAACGTCGGGAGGGGAGGAGTGAGAGGGAAAACGACAAGAGGGGAGCAAACAGAGGAAGAACGACAAGCGGGGAAGGGAGAGAGCGCGGAGGCGACGGGAAAGAGAGCGCGGAGGCGACAGGAGTGAGAGCGCGAAGGTGACGGGAGTGAGAGCGCGAAGGCGGCGGGAGAGAGAGCGCGAAGGCGACGGGAGGGAGAGCGTGGAGGCGACGAGAAAGAGAGCGCGGAGTAGACGGGTAAGAGAGCGCGAAGGCGATAGGAGAGAGAGCGCGAAGGCGACGGGAGTGAGAGCGCGAAGGCGACGGGAGAGAGAGCGCAAAGGCGACGGGAGGGAGAGCGCGGAGGCGTCGAGAAAGAGAGCACGGAGGAGACGGGTAAGAGAGCGCGAAGGCGACAGGAGAATGAGCGCGAAGGCGACGGGAGAGCGAAGGCGACGGGAGAGAGGATAAGCGACGGGAGAGAGGAGGGCGACGGGAGAGAGGAGGGCGACGGGAGAAAGGAAGGCGGCAGGAGAAGGATAGGCGAAGCGCGAGAGAGGAAGGCGACCGGGAAAAATGTAGAGCGACTGGAGGGCGATATACCGAGAACAAAAGGCTGGAAAAATGTATACTTAAAAAATCGTCGTTACTACATTACGCACGCGAGCTAAGTCAATACTTCGTGCCTGGGCCAGAAACATCTAGGCTCTATCAATTTTACTCCTACCATATGCTACGCAAAACACTAGTGTCTTCGGGTCTGGTAGAGGGCTAGTCATTCACCCAGTTCCAACTTGAAGTGGAAGTTGGGCCTGGCGATGGAAACGATCGCATGGCAACGGTCGTGCGGGGAGCTGCGTGTAAAAATGCGACGGCTAACTTGGACCTCGAAAATTGTTTTAGCGGGAGGGGAAATTTTTAGATTGGCTTGAGCCAATCAGATGAGTTCAACCTCCCAACACGGTTTGTTTGGAACAGTGTTGTATCACCCGAACTATTCGCAGCGATTTCAAGTTGGGTCTGCCTTCACTATGTCAGAAACTAATGAGCAGGAATGGTTGCATTGACATCAACCCTAATTGGGATGTATCCCATATAGGCTACCGCACTACAGCTTACACAACATAAGTAGCATTATAGTTTGACACACCCCCATAAGAAAGTGGGGGAGAACAAGAGGTCAAAAGACCACTCAAGAAAGGCAAAGCAAGTTCACGATGGATCATGAAGTCACCACACACTCTGAGCACAAGCAAATGGCTACAAGACTGGTCCACATGCAGAGTTATATAAAGGACATTAAACAGTACAGTGGTCACAACCTAGTAAGAGTAAGTGAGGCAAAATACGCACAAGGCCCAACACAGTACAGAAGCGCTGATGATCACAAGGCTGAAGTGCCTTGGTGAATATATAAGCAGTGTTGGTTAGAGTGGTCGCGCAAGCAACACGAAGATGACCACGCTGTTGCAACTCTCGAGCAAGGAAGTAACGCAGAACGATGTGCTTCGTTCTGTGCTCCTGTCTGTGCTCCTGACATAAAGCAATTGCAGCCTTGTTGTCTACGTACAAAACTGGAGGCAAACAAGGCCGCTGTCCCAAGTCGGTCAGCAAATAGGTGAGCCAGCGTAACTCCTGTGCAGCCATCGCTGTCGCGTATATCTCAACCTCACAACTGGAGCTGAGAACGGAAGACGAGCGGGTAGACCGCCAAGAAACAGAGCCGGAGCCAAGGCTGAACGAGTATCTCTGAGACGATCGCTGAGTAGTCAGGTCGTCAACCCACGAAGCGTCTGAGTGTACGGTGAGGACAACTGGACCTCGCCCTCCAAGCACGAGCCCCGTGCCCGATGTACTCCACAAGTAATGCAGTACCCTCTTAACAACATCCCAGTGCACCTTTCGGTACCTACCAGGAGCCACGTAGCATGCCACAAGACCAAGAGGGCATGCAAGGTCAGGACGAGTGCAGGTCATGAGGTACATGAGGCAGCCCACTAGATCTGGGTATGGGCCACTCGGCTCTACGGACTCGTCCAAAGGTGGAGCTGAGAGCGAGTAACCTATAGCCAGAGGAGTGGACTGTGGCAAGGACCAAGTGAAGCCGAAGCGCTGAAGGACCTACTGCACCATGTGTGACTGAGTCAGGGCGATGGTGCGTCGTGCTCTATCCAGGGTGATCTGCAAGCCAAGATAGCTGCGCAGCGCACTTAGGTCTGTGCACGTGTGTCTCTTCTGCAGCTCCAACTTCACAAGGGCGAGTGCCTTAGTATCAGAAGTGGCAAAGACCAAGTCGTCGACGCATACGAGGATGTAGAACGGCGGCAGCGAAGTGTTGGTGCGGGGAAACAGCGACAGGTCTGCAGTCGAAGGAGCAAACCCAAGTGCCGCAAGTGTCGTCCTCAGTGTGTCGTGCCACTCACGAGGTGCCTGGCAGAGACCGTAGACTGTAGGAAACGACACAGTGAAGCTAGGTGGACGGCGCAGCCAGATCTCCTCGTACAGGGTGCCCTGTAGGAAAGCAGTGCTGAGTGAAGCTCGTAGTCACGCTGAGCGGCAACGTGTAGCAGCACCCGAAGAGTGGTCATCTTAGGGGTAGGGGAGAAGTTTTGGAAGAAGTAAGCTCCCTCTCGCTAACTGAAGCCTCGTGCAACGTAACGAGCCTCGAAGATAGGCGGAGAACCTGACGGCCGCTTCACCCTGAAAATCCACATGCCATCGACTACGTTTGCCCGAGGAGGGGGAACTGCGTCGACGTAGGTGCCTGTGGACTTCCAAGATTCCATTTCTCCGTCCATGGCTGTCTGCCACTGAGAGGAGTACTCACCCGCGATCGCCTCAGCGTAAGAGCGCAGAGTCAGAATGTCTGGTGCATCCGGGTCTCCCTGAGGGGCAAGTAGCATGGCCAAGAGATGAGGTGCAGCGGCTGCAAGGCACTCAAGGTCCTCCTGCCTAAACCCTAAACCCTAAAACCCAAAACCCTAAACCCTAAACCCTAGCGGCGTAGTCGAGACGACAAGCAGCAGCAAAGTCAACAAGCTCAGCGACTAAGGCAGACGCAACAGCAAATTCAAACGAAGGGTAAGTGACAACAGTGGCCAAAAGACGCGTAATAGTAGGACTCGCAGCACGAACCCGGTCAGACTCAAGGTCCTGAACGTGCGGAAGAGAGGACGCATGAGGAGATGGCAGAGGAACACGCTGTGGAACAGAGGAAGGACGAAGTGTCATAGTATGCGTGCCGGGGACAGGAGGAGGACGCTCACGAGGAACATGGCGACTAGTGCAACCAGCGCGAACAGGCGAGGCAGGACGAGACGCAGGCTCACGACGCTCAGTAAGACCTCCTGTCTGCTCAGAGCAAGGACATGGAGCAGGCAATAGGGAGCCTAGCTGTAACGGGAGACCAGTAGAATATGGGAGACTAAGAACCAGGCGAAGCACCGAGCCAGGCGGCGGCAGAGATGACGGTGACGACGGAGCGAAGAACAGACGCCGCGGTGCAGCACCACTAGTACCAGCTCCTCCAGCACTAGCACCTCTAGTACTTGTACCAGCAGCTCCAGGGTCTCCAGCATCTCCAGAAACTCCAGCTCCAGCACCTCCAGCTCCCAGGTCACCAACTCCAGCGCCTACAGCTCCAGGGCCTCCAGCTTCAGAGTTTGTAGCACCACCAGCTCCAACCTGTCCATTACCTCCAGCTCCCGCACCTCCAGCCGCAGCACCTCTAGCCCCAGCAGCGCCACTTCGAAGGCGGTAGTGCTGAGTGTACCACTCGCGTAGCTGCTGCGGCGAGAGAGCACCTCCAGAACTTCCAAGACGAGCACCTCAAGGACTAGCAGTGACAGCTCCACCAGCACCACCAATACCGACAGTACCACCAGCTCCAGTAGCTCCAGTTACTCCAGTACGAGCACCTCATGGACCAGCAGCTCCAGCACCTCTAGTACCTCCAGTAGCAGTAGCACCACCAGCTCCAGCAGCTCTAGTGCCTCCAGGACTAGCAACTCCGGGACCAGTAGCTCCAGCACCTCCAGCAGCAGCAACAGCACCACTAGCTTCAGCAGCTCTAGTACCTTCAGCACGAGCACCTCCGAGACTAGCAGCTCCAGCACCTTGAGCAACAGTAGCACCACCAGCTCCAGGAGCTCCCGAAACTCAACTACCTCCAGCACCTCCAGCACTAGCAGCACCATCAGCTGCGGCAGCTCCTGTGCCACCAGCACGAGCACCCCCGGGACCAGCAGTGCCAGCACCACAAGCACCTCCAGCACTAGCAGCTTCAGGGCCTCGAGCCCCAGTAGCGCCACTCCGAAGGCTACACCGCCGACCATACCACTCGCACAACTGCTGTGGTGAGAGAGGCTCCCGCCGGCTAGACCGCTGGGGCGAGGCACCAGTGGGACCTCCAGGATTAGTAACTCCACCACCTCTAGTGCCTCCATTACCAGCAGTACCTCCATCACCTCCAGGACTAGCAGCTCTAGGGCCTCCAGCTCCAGCAGCGCCACTCTGAAGGCTACAACGCCGAGCTTACCACTCGCGCAACTGCTGTGGTGAGAGAGGCTTCCGTAGTGTAGACGAAGGACCCCTAGGCTCAGCAGCCCAAGACTTAGCACCCCCAGGCTCCGCACGCCCAGGCTAAGCACCCCCAGGCTCCGCACACTTAGAGCAGCACCCCCGGGCTCCGCACTCGCAGGCTCAGCACCTCCAGGCTCCTCACGCTCAGGCTCCGCAACCGTAGGCTCAACACCCCCAGGCTCCTTGCGCACAGGCTCAGCACCCCGAGGCCCCGCACACTCAGGCTCAGCACCCGAAGGCTCAGCACCCCCAGCAGCACCAGAGTCACGAATGACCTTGACAGGCTCAACCAAGGGGAGTGGGTCTACCTGAGACAAACCTGAAGGAGCAGGACCCTGAGGGGGGAGGGGGTCTACCGGAGGGGGACCTGGAGCAAGGAAGAGCGGCGAGGGAAGGGGAGGGGCAGTATGGTAGGGGAAGAGACAGAAAAAGAGAACTGACTCGTCAAACGTGACGTCCTGAGACGACAGAACACGGCACGAGGTGGGGTGGTAAAATTGCCAGCTAGGCGCGTCAGGGGGAAAACCAAGGAAGACACAGGGAACGGCGCGGGCGGAGAGCTTGTCCGCGGAGGTATCGCGAACAAAGGTACGACATCCCCGGACCCGGAACACTAACGCATCGCCAACCTCTCCCATCCAACGCAACGTCGGCGAGGTCCCCACCAAGGAGACACGGGGCCAGAGGTTGAGCTGATGCGCGGCGTACCGGACTGCAAACTGCCACAGAAAATGGGGGGCAGCCACATAAATCATGGAGGTACGAGCGACCTCCATGACTAGGCCAATGCGGTGCTCAGCAACCCCATTCTGCTGCGGAGAGGCCGGAAGCGTGAACGACTGAGTGATACCCTCCCCACGACAAAAGTCCCCCAAGAGGTCAGAGGAAAACTCACCACCCATGTCAGAGTGCAGACGCAGGAGAGGAAGGTCCGTGTCGAACCGCTCGCGGAGCTGGAGACGGACAGCCCGGATCCAAGGGATGAAAACATCAAGGACCTCACCCTTGCTGCACAAGGGGAAGACCGTGGTGTAAGACGAGTAGTCGTCAACACCCAGCATAAAGTATCACTTGCGGCCCTGTCCCTGGACGCGGGCTGGGCCCCACATGTCTAAGTGAAGAGTCTGCAGGGGAGCAGTCGTCGGGGGA